TTTGTCAACACGCCAAATGGCAGTCGATACTGTAACATTAATTAGGACCCTCCTCTAAGTAAGAATGCAAACCAAGTAAAATGCCTGCTGACGGATGTGTGTAAAAAGTGAGTAAGTGGCCCTGACACCATTCCTAGAAGAGAACACTCACCCGGAGGCTGACTAGGAAGGAACCACATGGCTATGAAGGTGCTCTTTAACATTGGCTGAGGAGCCTTTTTCTCAAGTGCTTGAGAAAGATGTGTTTCTGATCTGGGGAGATTTGGGAGTGTTGGCGCATACACACTGAGATGTCTTGGGGATAACCCAGGCCTCAGCAGGAGATTTATTTGTGCTTTGTACACACTGCATAGCCAGGAGGCGATGCCAAACAAAACTTTCTGGGCATTTGTGCTGTGACTCATCCCACGAGGTCAAGTGTGGCATCCTCTACATGGGACATCAGGTTTGTTAGCGCTCAGGGTTTTCAGTGCAGAAAGTTTTGGTATTTTGGAACATTTTAGGTTTCAGCTTTCTGGAATAGGGGTATTCACCTTATAATTATAAATCAGAGGCTGCAAGATACTCAACATCTGGTTTTTAGCTTATTTTCTGTGTCTCCTAGAGAAATCGTGTCACAGTATCCACAAACGCCCCAGAAACGAAAAACCACAATCATACGCAGATGCTAAAAAGAAGCCAGTGGGTAAAGGGCACCTGAGTTGGCAGAAAGGGGAGAGCGCAGGTGTGGAATGCTTAGTGGAAAAACTTAGGGAAATGAGCAGGAACACGGTGGAGAAATGAGTGGTCTTCGAGCTAATGTGATGCAGATACAAACTGCTAGGTCTCTTTCTTAATATATACTTTCCAGAACGTTTATAACCTATAGTTTAAAACTTTGGGGAAAAAAAAAAACAGATTTAAAAGAAACCAAACAAAACATTTTAAGGGGTAAATGTGACTAGTTTAAAGAATTTTTTAAAGCTCAGAGAGGATTCTAGAAAGAATAGCAAAGGTTGTGCGCAAAAAAAGTTGGCCATCTGTTCTCTCTCTTTAGTGATGAGTCAAATGAAGGGAAATGAGCTCAGCCATTGTGGGTGAGAAGCATTCTAGCAGTCACTAATCATTTACTAAGGGATATTACAGAATTTCTCTCCTAGGAAATCTTTAGACAGGCTGTCCACTTTTTCTAAGCACAACAGCCGTGTTATTTTCGCCGATCCCATGAAAAATATTGCTTCACTGTGTCTCAAGCTGTGTCCATCAAGGGGCAAAATCTGCAGAGAGTTCCAGCAGTTCTCAGGACAGATGAGGATGAAGAGGGATGGCTGGTTGGATAGGAGATTGCCCCTGGGTGTTCACCTTGGATTTTTGTTTTGCTATTCAGAATAGAGTTATTGTTACAGAAGGGTCACGTGTAGAGTCCTAGAGGTGGGCTACCTGAATGTGCATAGGAGCAGGAGGGAAAAAGAGACATCCTTTGGCTTGCCTTCCAGGGGTGCAATGAGGCCAGAAAATGCTTATGGTAATAGGCCAAAGGTTTGCTCTCTGAGGTGAGGCTTAAATATCACTGCTGTGGTAGAGAGCTACATTCCCAAGTTGCCTACATGAGACAAGCTCTGCTGAGCATGAAGCCACCAAAATTAGAAGTCCATTATTTCCTGCCTTAGACAAACAAAATGAGGATACTGACACCGGCAGAGGAGAAAAGATGGGCAAACATCCTGAATTCTCTCTTTTCTGTGAGTTGATAAAAATCCCTAACCAGCTGTGGAACAATCCCAGCCTGAATCACTACTAAAGCCGAGGAACAGTCTGTGTTCTGGTTCATAGTACAGAACTTCAGGTTGTGGCTGACAGTGGAGCAGGTACGCAGCAGGGTCAGGAAATAAGAACCTGGAAGGTTCTGCATAAGAACCTAGAACAACTGAACCTCGAGGAGAAGCAGAGGGACACTTAACATGCAGGCTGCTCTGACAGGTAATGAACACGTTATGCTGCCCAGAAGTTATCAAATTTCAGTCCGACCAAATCCATGAGCACTTCCAGAGCACAAGAGCCATATGACAGAGATCAGAATCCCAAAACTCATCGCAGGCTGTTCTTAGCCCACGTGCCCTAATAGTAAGGCTTTTTGGACCCTCCTCACTGGAAACCACATCACCCTGTGGAGGAATGTTAACTCACAACATGGCTGCTCTGGCAAGAGGTCACATCCAGAGACCTTCTAGGTCTGTGTGATCTGACGGGAATACAAACACACCTTTTATCCAGGAAACAGAGGCGAGAAGACCTGAGTTTAAGGCCAGCCTGGTATAGAGTAAGTTTCAGGTAAAGGAAAGCTTAGGTCCAGGTATGGTGGTACACACCTTTAATCTAGGACAATGAAGGCAAAGTTAGTTTGTAGAAAAAGTACCCATGTTTGAAGGTGATGTTTAATTGAGTAGCAGAAAAAGTGAAGATCTGACAGAATATTATACACTCAGCTCTCATGAGAAGAGAGAGGAAAGGGAAGCTACTTAAGGTGCAATGCAGAGAGAGAGGAGGCAGTTTTACCAGAAGTGTTTTACAGAAAGAGGTTGAATGAGAGAGCAAGGTAGACACAGGTGAAGCCAGCGAATGAGAAGGAACCAGAAGACTAGAAAATATTGCTGGAGTAAGTTTGAGGCCAAGCAGAGCATTTCAGGGGCTGAGAGAGAAGCCAAATTGAATAAGTCAGCTGGGAGAGGAGTTTGAGCCAGAATAACTGAGCTGAACCAGCCAGCCCAGAGCTCAGTAAGAACAAGTAAGGATGAGCTTATTCAGCAGTAAGTCTCAGAGTCTGAAAACATTTTAGGCCCACGTTAGATTGTACAGAGGCCAGAAGGTTCCAGGACTAGGCCTGGGTTAGCAGGAGGCAGCAGTAAGCCTCGAAGACAGTTGAGCTAGGCAAATGAAAGTTCCTTTCACATCTCCCTCTGCAGGATCTGTCACACCTCCAATGTGCAAGTGCCAAAAATGGAACACAAAACAAAAAAATCTTGGCAACTGGCAAGTACCTCTGATTCCACAGAATCTCTTCCTTCTTTATTGTCGAGACAGTGTCTTGCTATGTCCAATTTGCTACATAGCCCAGGTTGGCCTCAAACGTGGGATCCTACTGCTTCAGTCTCCTGAGTGCTAGAATTGCAAGCACACACTGCCACATCAGGCTCACAGAATTTTTATGTAGGGTAACAATGTTACACGGGGTGGCAAGGAGACATTTATTTTTAGATAGGGTCTCCTGTATCTTACCTCAAGCCTGTTATGTAGCCAAGAATGACCTTGAACTTCTGATACTCCTGCCTTCATCTCTAGAATGCTGGGTTACAGATTTGCAAACATGACCAGATTTCACATAGTCCTAGGGACTGAACCTAGGATTTCAGGTAATACAAGCACTCTACCAACTGAGCTACATCCCCACTCCAAAGGGATAGCTTAGTAAAGCTGAGTTGTTTAGTAAAGCTGAAGAATTATAAAAACACCAAAGCCTCCTACAAATGTACTTTATTTGCATTTGTTTGTTTTGGTTTTTCGAGACAGGGTTTCTCTGTGTATCCCTGGCCATCCTGGAATTCAATCTATAGACAAGGCTGGCCTTGAACTCAGAGATATGCCTGCCTCTGCCTCCCAAGTGCTGCTGAGATTAAAGGTATGTGCTCACAGCCAAACTTCGGGCAGAGCACAGGGAGTCTTATGGAAGAGGTGGGGGGAGGGGGGAGAGAAGAACCCAGAGGGGACAGGAGCGTCACAAGAAGACCAACAAAGCCAAAAAAATCTCAGCCCCAGGTAGGCCAGATGCACCAACCAAGGACCAGGTATGGAGAGGACCTAGACCCCTGCTCAGATGTAGCCCATAGGCAGCTCAGTCTCCATGTGGGTCCCTTAGAAAGGGGAGCAGGGGCTGTTTCTGATATGGACTCAGTTGCTCGATCTTTGATCACTTCCCCCTGGTGGGGCAACCTTGCCAGGCCACAGAGGAAGAGGATCCAGGCAATCCTGATGAGACTTGATAGGCTAGGATCAGATAGTAGGGGAGGAGGACTTTGCCTTTCAGTGGACTAGGGGAGGGGGATAGGGTGAGCAGGAGAGAGGGTAGGACTGGGAGGAGATGAGGGAGGGGGCTACAATCAGGATCTTGAGTGAATAAATTGTAAAAGATAAAAAAAAATCAAGTAAAAAAAAAGGTGTGTACCACCACCTTTATTTTAAATTTTATTTTTAAAATTATGTTTACCCATTTGTGTGTGTGTGTGTGTGTGTGTGTGTGTGTGTGTGTGTGTGTGTGTGTGTGT